CCTAAGCGGACCGCGGACCCAGGGACGCACCGGGGGGGAGGAACGACGGTTGGAACGCAGCCGCGGCCCACAGACGTGGGCACAATACAGTAGGGGCGTTGACCTAAGGAACCCTAAATAAGGAACGAGGCCCCTTTTTTCCGTAAGTTAACCTTCGATTTCCTGTCGAAAACATAAGGAAAGCCTGAGGCAAGCTGTGAAACACTTAAGGAACGCGGAGCCCCTCCCCAACGAAAAGGGTTCCTTCTTCAGGGCCCCGACTGTAGTGTGCAGTGTCGTCAGAGCAGTCGCAGCCAAACCTGCACTTCGCTTGGGCGAGGATCTTCACTCTGCCACTCGTGATCGCCCGCAAAGGGATTTCACGTGCGGCCACGCTCGGGAGGGGGGGAAGCACGGGCGAAGGCAGCACGGAGTCGCCTCCGGCGAAGGTTGAGGTCAGGGAGAGGAGGAGGGGGACGGGATACCAGGAGGCCATCCTGCGTCGAGTGAGCGCAGGGATGCCGTCGGGAATGCATTGGACCTGCAGGCTTAACGACAACTGAATATGAAGCCTCGGCGGTTTGCGTCTTGCAACAGAGGTCGCCGCTGCTGTCTCGGCGTCGGCGTGAGCCTTGAGGAGAACGTGATGGGGAAAGGGGAGAGAGAGAGAGAGAGAGAGAAGCAGGAGATGAGGAGGAAGAGGAGGAAGAGGAGGAGGGAGGAGGAGGAGGACGACGATAGGAATGGGGGGAAGAGAGGGAGGACAAGGAGGGAGAGCGATGAGGGAGAGAGAAGTAGCCAGGTGGGAGGGAGGAGGAGGAGGGCAAAGGAGGAGGGAGGGATGGGGAAGCGGAGGGAGGGACACCCAAGAGATCCTCCCAAAGAGTTCCAAGAGACCCACATCTCAGGAAGCCGCGGTGCTCCCCACCGTCTTCCCAGTGTGCCTTGCGCTCGTAACCCACGCGCGATGGCGGGATGAGCCGCAGGCCGCTGCGCGGGCAGCTTGCGCGCCAGTGCCGGCGCAGCCGGCCCCGTTTCCTTGTGCCGCTCACATGCCGCATAAGGATGGGATCTGAGGCTCCAGCCGCGGTTTTCCCCGAGAGCGCCCCCTACAGTGATGGTCTTGACCTGTGGAACCATAAATAAGGAACGAAGCCCCTTTTTTTCCAAGTAAGCCCATTAAGCCAGAAGGAACGGCCGAGCCCCTTTCATGCAAGCCTAAGAAACGACCGAGCCCCTTTGGAAAAGTAAGCGTTCCTCATTCAAGCCGCTCACTGTAGATCCGCAGCCCCCGTCTGTTTGGCGCTGCTTGGCATGCGACACGGGCCGGCCCCAGAACAACACAGCTCGTGCCCAAGGTACAAGCGGCCCGTGCCACAGGGATGCGCGATAAGGATGCAAGGGCCTTGGACGCCCGCTTCGAAGCTTTTCGAGCGGGGTGCGGCCAACGAAAGTGGCCAAGGATGGGCCGAGGAGGTAAGGCTGCAAGGGTGCCCTTGAGAAAGTCGCTCATCCTCACTGTGCGGGTCGACCGTAACCAAAGACGGTCCCTGATGGCCTCTAAGATGGCCCCAGCCAGATGCCTCCAGGATGGCACGACAGGGCCAGAAGATGGCCCACGACGGCTACAAGAGGGTCCAAGCTGCTGTTCGAGAGGCCTCCTTTACCGTCGAAGGGGCCCTCGAGGTCGGCCCAAGTCGCTGCAAGAGAAATGCGTGTTCAGCGAGTTTCGAAGTAGCGTAATTGCAGCCTTGAGAGTGTCCAAGACGGCCCAGCAGGAGCCGGCCCACGACGGCCACAAGAGGGGCCAAGCTGCTGGTTGGGAGGTCTTTTGTGCCGTCGCGGGGGATGCCCGAATCGCTGCAAGACAAATACCTGTTCAACGAGTGTCGAAGTGCCGCTCTTTGTCGGCCCTGAGAGTGTCCAGGACGGCCCAGCAGGCCTCACGAGGACCCCAAGACTGCCCACGAGAGCCCCAAGGCGGCTCTGCAGGTCCCAGGAGGGCCCCAGGAGGGCCCAGGGAGGCCCCCGAAGACGGCCTCCGAAGGCGCCCGAGGGGGCGCCAGACGGGCCGAGCGCGCCCCCAGAAGGCCCCAGGGCCCAAAGATGGCCCAAGGGGAGGAGGAGGAGGAGGAGGAGGAGGAGGAGGAGGAGGAGGAGGAGGAGGAGGAGGAGGAGGAGGAAGAGGCCCCGACGGCTGCAAAGAGAACACCCAAGCAGCCCCAGGACGTCCCCAGAAAAGCTACAAATAAACAAAACAAATAAAAATAAAAAAAAAAAAGAGAACACCCAAGCAGCCCCAGGACGTCCCCAGAAGGTCCCGTCCCCAGAATCCCCCCCCCCCCCTGCGGTTTCCCCGGCAGCCGGGGGAGTGCGCAGCCCACTAGCGTGCCCGCAATTTCGCGCGACATTGCACCGCACAGGCGTTTCCAGAGGGCTGGGGGCGGCGGTGACTCGCCGTAGGCGTCTTGAATACCCTCCTTCACCATTCGCCTTACCCTCAGTATCCCATCTAGGTGTCTGACCACTCAGGAGGGACGGAAGAGGAGGGAGACGAGAAGGACAGGATGGCAGAATTGCGAATGACCCAACCCTGTGCGCCTTCGCGCAGCGCAGGGCGAGCCCTCCCTTCAGATACTGCGCCCCGCGGGAAGTCCAAGGGTGGAATCCCTGTCGGGAAGAGGAGGAAAGAGGGAAGGAGAGGGAAGAGGCGGGAAGAGGCTGCGGGTTGCGCACGGACAGCCCCCCAGGCAGTCCCCGCTGGCCTCAGCAGGCCCCCCCGTGCAGTCCGGGGCGGTCTCAGCACCCCGGCGCCGCCCCAGGGTAGAGGGGCTGAGATCGCCCTGGACTGCATGGGGTGGGCTGCCGGGGGGCCTGTCGAGGCCACCGGGGGGTGGGGGGGCTGTCTGTGCGCAGCCCGCAGCCTCTTCCCTCCTCTTCCCTCCTCTTCCCCTTCTTTCCCCCCCTGCCCTCTTCCCTCCCTCCCTCCCTCCCTCCTCCTTCCCCCTCCCTCCTCTTCGCTCCTCCTCCCCTCCTCCTCTTCGCCTGTGGGAGCAGGGACGCGGGAACATCGGCGGCACGCAAAGGGCTTACCCCGGGCAGGCTTGGCCTTTGGTGCGCCGCTCTTGCCTATACCGCTATGCGCCCGTGTCTGGCTCTCCCGCGATGGCGGCCCGCGTGCCGGGGTCTGGCTCTCCCCGCGACACGAGGAAGCCGCGCAGCACAGGTCACTCCAACAAGCTCCTCCTCCTCCTCCTCCTCCTCCTCCTCCTCCTTCCCCTCCCTCCCCTCCTCCCTCCTCCCTTCCTCCCCCTCCTCCCCCTCCCCCCTCCTCCTCCTCCTCCTGCTCCTCCTCCTCCTCCTCCTCCTCCTCCTCCTCCTCCTCCTCCTCCTCCTCCCTTCACTCTTACGCGTAGCCGAGAGCAGGCCTCGAGCCCTCTTTCATGTCGATCTTGATCAGGCCCGCGTCGAGGCTGGCCAAGTCCGAACACTGCCTGCACCCCACGAAGATGAACTTACAGCGGTCCTCGAGCTCCAGGTTCTCCCCGCGGAAGACCAGCTCCTTGGAACAGCAATAGTGCTATGAACATAATCATTCGAAGTCCGCGCGGATGTTTTGGATCTGCGCTGGGCCCCGCTGGCGGCGCCTCCGGCGCCGCCCTTGCCACGCGCTGCGCGCCAGGGAGGGGGTCCAGCACCGATCCGAGAAATCCGCGCGGAGCTCCGGACATTTACGTTTATGCCAATGTTTCTTCTTCGAGTCCTGCAGCCGGGCCCTGCAGTTCTTCAGCAGGTCGCAGGCCTCGAAGCCGGGCGTGAATGCAGAGCGGGAGCCGAGGTCCAGCGCCCTGAGGCACTCCCTGCTGGAGGAGCGCGAGCTCAGGAACTGTGCCACCTCCTCCCCCGCCTTGTTGTCGAGCACGTTGTCGCCGATCTTGAGCGTATGCAGCTGGCAGGGCGACGTCATCAAGGCCTTCATGATCTCCTGCACGCCCTTCGACGGGATCTCCGCGGAGGTCACGTCCAGTGAGGTCAGCTGGGGGTAAATGCTCACCATGTGAGCGATGGCCGAGGCGCCGTCGGCGCCGACGTTGTTGAAGCTCAGGTTGAGGTGCGTGAGTTTGTGGTTCGGCGTGAAGCAGTTCGTCAATGCGAAAATGCCCTTGGACGACAGGGTGGCGTTCCGTAGGTCCAGCTTGCGCAGCTCGCGGTTGTAGCTCAGTTCGGTGGCGAGTTCGACAGCGCCAGTGTCGTCCAGGATGTTGTCCCCTAGCTTGATGTCTCTGACCTTTGCGTCCGCCGTGAGTGAGGGAAGCAACCCGCCGAGGTCTTGGAAACCAATCTCGTTACCCTGGAGCGAAATCGTCTGCACCATCATCAACAAATCCTGGATGGGCTTGTCCTCCTGCCTCCTCTTCTCGGCCCTGTACCTCACGGCACAGGCCAACTCGTTGTCGCTGAGGTCGAGCTCCTTCAGCTGGAAGCCCTCCGGCAGGCGCGAGTTCTCCTGCAAGGCCCGGATCATGAACCCGAGGCCCGCTACCTGATGGGAGACCCCCTCCCCTGAGACTGTCAACGAGCCCCCGATGTCGCCCTGGCACCTGCTCACCCCGGAACCTGGCTCCTCCTTCCCCCCGTGCATCCTTCCCGAATGCCTGCTCCTCCCTTTCTCCAGCCCTTCCTCCTCCCTGCTCGACTCCTCCTTCCCTTCCTCCATGCATCCTCCTCGACATGCCCACCGATCCGCTCCCACAAAAGGGAATGCGGCAGAGGCAGAGCGCCGCGGCCGCCGAGCCCGCGCGCCTGCGTCCTGCCCCCCCTCCCCCCCCCTCGCCCCTCTCCCTCCCTCCCCTCATCCCCTTCCTTGGGACGCGCAAAGGCACACTAGTACTGAACTTCCGCCTTGGAGGCGTGCGTCCGACCCGAACATCTAGCATAATAACTAGCTTGTAGTATATCGTTTCCCGAGCGGTGTGGCCAGAAAACACCCGCCACAGCGCGTATAGTATAAGATTTCTCGGTGCGCGCGTCGCCCCTGGGGGGGCGACGAAAATATAGCATTAGTATGTCGGTGTGACGCAGATTCCTCCGCTGCGGGTGTGCGAAAGATCCAGGCCGCGAGAATTTGAGCTTTGCTCTTGCCGCCTCAGACATCCGGCGCTCTCATCTCTTCGACGCGTGTGCCCCAGGAGGTCTGGACCACTTCCCCATGGCCGATGCTTCGTCCCGAGCTGCTCCCCAGCCGACAGGTGGGGGTCGGTAGGTCCTAAGAGCAGACCTCCCGACCCGCCCCTCCTGCATACTGCGGCCGCCAGGTCCCCGGGTCCACCGGGTCCCCCGAGAGCCCCGCCCCTCCAGGCCCGACCCGCCCACTCTGCAGACCTCGGCCACCAGATCCCCAGGTCCACCGAGAGTCCCAGAGACCCCCCCCCTCTTAGCACGACAAAGCACGACTAGCAGCACGTAGTATAAGAGAACATCGCATTGTCAAACATCTAAACGTAGCTGACCAGATCATGGCATAGCATATGATAGCATAACATACCATCACGTAACAGGGCACACCATATCACACCAATGCATGCTATGATACAGCGGATCGGGCATACCAGAGACAGCGTAGCATACCATTGCATACCATAGCATAACGTAGCATGCCATGGCCTAGCATACCATAACACAAGACATCGTCACATAGCATCTCACACCGTAAGTTGACAAACTATACAGTGGTATCGCGCAGCACATAACATATCAGTACACCAGGACCTCACGTGCCAAGCAATACCATACAAGAAAACATCAATACTGTACATATCATCGCAGAACACAAACTAGAGTATTGCAAATCATAGCGCAATGCTGCATGACATCGCGGTACGCAACAGTCTCGCACCACATATCCGAACATAGCATACTATAATCGTTGCACGATGGCTACCACGACGACAGCGTCAATATGCGAACACCATAGGCTTTACCGTGTTGAAGAGGGATACCATTCCGTCACATGCCACAATGATCTTTAGGAAAAAAGATAAAGCGATTCCGACAGACCATGCCATACCTGCTGTACTACTGCTACCGCCACGGCAACGAACACGATGTAACATCATCGGTCGTACATAGTGTTTCAACTGTATGGGAAATCCCGGTGATACCATAACATGCTGTAGTGGACAGTGCGTCGCGTAGCCAGCATAACATACCACATGACATACCAGTTCATCATATGACAAAGGTGATCATGGCACAGTCTACCTGCACACCATAAGGTGAATCACACACACACACGCGACGTGCGCGCCGAGGTCAGGCTTGCCACAGGAGCAAGCAGGCGCAACAACGACTGGTTGGACGACCCGTCGAACGTGACACGGGTCACGACGTCACGCATGCCCGTCGAGAACACAGCATCACATGATGCAACCTAACCTACTAGAACATGACGGAAAATTCCATGGTTGAGTACATCCAGTAGGGATCGATGACTTGCGCCTTGACAGCCGCATCATCCACGCCGACGTACGGCTGGCCATTGGACAACAGCATGCGCACCAACAACCAGTTAGTCGACATATCAAGCGTGACGGGCGCCACGACGTCGCGCCGCCCCGTCGAGAGCAGAACCGAACACACCAAATTGTGTCGTAGCACAGGCCAGAAACGAGCATCACATAATATAACACAGCAAGGGTTGAGTAATGCCGTCCTTCCATAAAAAAAAAAACATGCGCCGAGTCCACGCTGGCCAGTCAAGAACATAACGTAGCAGAACATAATGTCATGTACTTCACTGTGGCAGAATCCAAACGAAAATGATCTAGCACAGAATTAGCAAGCAGCCATCAGTTCACGGCGTCCCATCAAGCGAACATCAGATCACAATCGACCGTACCATCATACAATCAAACGCGACGTGCTCGCCGAGGTCAGGCTGGCGGAACACGCAGGCGCAGCAACGACCGATTGGACGGCGTATTTAACGTGAGAGGCGTCACGACCTAACGGCGGCCCGTCGAGAACACAACATACTACAGTATACCATGCTTGAACTTGATGGAGTAGAACACCGTTGGATACTGTAAATGCAGGAATGACCTATTGATGGCGTCCTGTCAAATACAGTATCCACGCCGACGTAAGGCTGGCCACCAGACAAACACAGGCGCAACAACGACCGATTAACGACGTCACGCCGCCTCGTCGGGAGCCGAACAGACAAACACATGTGCATAGAAAAGAAACATATTCGACTAGAACGCGATGGAGTTGAATGAAGCAGCGACCGAATAATGCCGTCCTATCAAACGCGAGCGACATGCGCGCCGAGCCCACGCTAGCCACATTAACAACCAGTAGCAAACTCGGGAACACACGCCGAAGGTTTCGGTGGGAATCGCCCGAACCATTGTACTTGTTTGACGGTCTCGGGGCCCGCTGAAGGCCCCCAGAGGCCGAATGTAGCCAACAGTCGGCAGCTCAATTTTTGTCGAAGCCCTGGATCTCTGGTGGCCCTCCAATGGCCTGTACATCGAGCGCGTCCTCGCTGTTGAGCTTGCAGTTGCTGAGGACCACCTTGGCCAGCGGGACCTTCGGGTGTTTGATGAGCTCGGCCACGGCGCGAAGGATCGGGTCCTGGCTGTCCCTGCGAGGCATGTGCGAGCACGAGATGAGGGGGATGAGGAGGAGCAGCAGCATCAGGGAGGACGTCAAGGTGATAGAGGCCTCCTAGCTGGGGTCAGAGTAGATGGGGTCGGAGGATCTTGCCGCATCGCCGATACATCGGCGATGCATCGTCGATGCATCGGTGATGCAACGGCGACGCATCGTCGAAGTCGGCGATGCGTCGGCGACATCGACGCGAAGGAAATCGGCCTCCGCATCGAGCCGCATCGCGGATGCATCAGCGAGGCGGCGCGATCCTCCGACCCCATCTACTCCGACCCCATCTAGGAGGCCTAGAGAAGATGAGGAGGAAAACGATGAGGAGGAGGAGGAGGACGCCATGGGTATGTTGCCTTGTGGGGTGGGAGGGGACAACCTTACCGACGCCTGCAGATCTAGTACCAGTGCCCCTCCTTCCGCCGTCCTCGCTGGCCGCGGCGCCACCCTTGTCTTTTCAGGCGGCGCCGCGGCGGGGACTCTCTGAGATGGATGTTTTCTCGAGGGCTAGGCCTAGTTCAGATGGAACCGTCGCCCCTGCCAGGCTCAAAAACATGTTCCAAAAGGCTGCGGAGAAAAGAGGGTGCAAGCTGCTCCCTTGCCTGCTGCTACCCTCCCTCGGCGCTGTCCTCAAGTCGGCCTGAGAGAATTGCGTTTTTTTGGATGCCGGATCCGGCTTAAGAAACCGGATCCGGCTTTACAAACACGGATCCAGCTTCGGCTTTTGAGGCCGGATCCCGCTTAGGCCCAGGCAAGTGAGGCCCACCGCTCAGCGGCGCAAAAGGCCTGTCTAGCCTTTCGGCCTCCGGGGCCTCTTCAGGACAGCTCTTGACATAAGTGGCTGAGGTGTGAAGTCTGCGCAAGTGCACATGTGACACACTACTGACTGCAATGCTGTGCGATAGGCGAGTAGCTTTAGGTCGGGCATGTCCCCCTACAGGCTGATTTTGGACGGCCAATTAAAACTGCCCCAAAAATACTCCAACATAGTCAGAACATACTCGAAACATCAACCCCCGACTATTTGGTTGACTGTTTCCCGTTGTAGAGGGACGTGCCCGACTTAATCGGCTTCACGCAAGAGTGACCCTGGGTAACAGTGACCTTTGGTGCGCGGATTTTTGCTGGGCCGCGGGGGGGACCAAACACAAGCGCGCAAGACGCTACTGTCGGATCGCGCTCGGCGATCGGGGGGCCCCACTGGGCGCGCACCAAAGGTCACTCTGGCAAAGTGCCACTCTTACGTGCAGTCGACTTAAGAAGTAGCTGCGCATGCACATGTTCTGTGAGGCGCCGGCGCCGAGGAGGAGGAGGAGGAGGAGGAGAAGGAGGGGGAGGAGGAGGGGGAGAAGAGGGAGGAGGGAGGAGGAGGAGGAGGAGGAGGAGGAGGCGGCGGAGGAGGAGGAGGAGGAGGAGGAGGAGTAGGAGTATAGGAATAGGAATAGGAATAGGAACCACTGGCGATGCCAATCTCAATGTGCAATCTCTCTATAAAAATTCCCTGAACTTGAAGCCGCAGTTCAGGACATCCATCACGAATGGCACGGAATTTATCACGCGCGGCACGAAATTGTTCTCACAGTCTCCTCACATTTGCTTGCAGTCTTGATCTGTATTCTTGATGGCGCCCCAGTCGATCACCGCCGAACCGCTGGGCAAAAAAGGGGCGCCTGGAGTTCCACTGATCTCTCTGAGCTCCTGAGAGATAGCATCACGGTAGCTAGCAATATTGGGCTCTAACTTCACCTGCTGCATTCTACGTGGCCCGATGGCGGCACTGTAGCCATACGAACTGCACCCTGGGCCTAGACTAGGGGTAGAGCGACTAGTGTGAGACGTACATGGCTCAATCGTCCCGCCTCTCTCACAAGCGCTGATCCCTGAGCTGTAGCTAGGGTAGAAGTCATCTGGCTCCATCTTCACCTGTGCTCCATTCTCGGGTCTGCAGCTGTCGACGTTAGACTTGGTCGTCGCAGCACTCCCCCCGCTCTCGTCTCTGTAGCTGATGGCGTTGGGCTCGTGCTTCGCCTCCGCCCTTGCCAACGTACAAGACTCCATGTCGTTGTAGCTGATGACATTGGGCTTGTGCTTCGCCTCCGCCACTAAGCGCCGTACAAGACTTCGCGGGGAGTCGTCGTCGTTGTAGCTGATGGCATTGGGCTCGTGCGTCGCCCCCACCGCTGCCAAAGTGCAAGACTCCACGTCGTTGCAGCTGATGACATTGGGGTCGTGCTTCACCTCCGCCACTAGCGCCGTACAAGACTGCGCGGGATCGACGTCGTCGTTGTAGCTGATGGCATTGGGCTCGTGCTTCGCCTCCGCCGTTGCCACCGTGCAAGACTTCACGTCGTCGCAGCTGATGACATTGGGCTCGTGCTTTGCGTCCCCAACCACCGCCGTACAAGACTTCGCGGGATCGTCGCCGTTGTAGCTGATGGCGTTGGGCTCGTGCTTCGCCTCCGCCACTGCCACCGTACAAGACTCCTCGTCGTTGTAGCTGATGGCATTGGGTTCGTGCTTCGCCTTCGCCCAAGACCAGTACCAAGCGTCATAACTGTCTATCTTCCACTTCAATGTCGCAATCTCTGTATACAAGCGTCTAATGAGGTTATCTGCTGAGATCCTTGCGTGCTGTCTGCGCATCTTCCGGTCTGTCGTGCTCCCCTTCACCGTATTGCGCCCCTCGCGGGCGCGTCCCGTAGCTTCCATTGGAGAAATTTGCCTCGATCTTTGCCACCCTGTAGAATTGCTTACGTTCTCACTCAGGTGCCACAAGCACGGCGCGATGAGCCGCCGAGGCAGGAACCATGGGCACGGTTGGAGCCAAAATGGTCGGCGCGCCCAGGGCCCCCTTGTGCTTGGGAGGAGGAGTAGGAGGAGGAGGAGGAGGAGGAGGAGGGAGGAGGAAGGGGGAGGAGGAGGAGGAGGAGGAGGAGGAGGAGGAGGAGGAGGAGGAAAAGGAACAGGAGTAGAGGGAGGCGGGGGAGGAGGCGGAGGAAAAGGAGCAGGAGGAGTCGCTAATCCACGCCCCCTTAATCCATGTTGAGGATCGCCTGAAGTGGGGAGGTCCGCTTTCTCCTCCTCCCCTATTATCCCCCTCCTCCTTCTCCTCCTCCCGCCCTCCTATACCTATGGCAGTGGTGGTGGAGATGGGGCTCAGCTGGGGCTTCTCCACTTTCCCGTTCCTCGTCGCACCTCCTGCGCCGCTTCGCCGGCACTGGAGTGAGACACAGCTCTCTTTGCAGTTTCTTGCAGAGAAGAACGCAGCAATCTGGCGCAAAGGGCAGCTGCAAGAGCGTGGGATCAGAGGGACGATGGTCGAGTACCACCCCCCCGGCAAGAGACCACGAGAACCCCCCACAGTCCAGGCCCGTAGCCATTTTGGCTCAACCCGAGGGGCTGGCTCGAGGCGAGCCGCCCACAGCAGGCCACTGCTCTCGCTCCGCCACGGCAAGCTCCCGCTGCCGTGCCGTCTGTTTTCGTGCATCGAGCTGCTACGTGCGTGCGCCATGTCTTGGAGTTTCAAGAACCCCTTGCATATGTGTGCTGCCCCAACCCCGCTTGCCCAGGTTGGACCTGGGCCAGCCGCCGCAAGCCCTACTGCGGGCTCTGCGGCACCCCGCAGCCCCCGCAGCCAGGTTCCTCGCCATCGCCAGGGAGCAGCGGCAAGGGGAAGGGCAAGGGCAAGGGGCAAGGGCAAAAAGGGGGAGGAGGAGCATCAGGAGGAGGTGAAGCTGGAGGTGGTGTCAAGCAGCCCCCGTGGCATAAAGACACAATTCCCTCGTCGCCCCCCCGAATACCGACCAGTGTTCCCATGACCTTGTGATGGCGCAGCATCTTGTCAAGTTTTACAAGGGCTGGGGAGTGGATCACACCGATCCCAGGCTGGTCTCGGCCCATGAAGCTGTCAAAGCTGCGAAGGAGAAGGTGTTCCAGAATCGGTCCCCTGTGCAGAAGGCTCAGAGTCTCGCGGCTCAGATCCAGCATCAGAAGTTCCGCATCACCTCTGCCACGGAATCTCTTGCTGAGTTAGAATCCCAGGCAGCGTGTATGGTCAGGAAGTATGAGGAGGCGACGGCGCAGATTCGTGAATCGAAAGCCCACTTGGAGTGTCTCAACGCCCAGCTTGCTCGCCTGCGTCCTGAGTCCGCCTCGTGCGAGCCTCCTGAGTCTGAACCTGAAAGTGTGGTCCACTGGGTCCAGGGTCTGAAGGGAGCTTTGACCGAAGAGTTTGCCTGTCTCTCTCCTGAAGGAAAAAAAGCAGCTGGAGGATGGGTTCTCGGCTTTGGAAGGCATGTTGACACATATGAAGGACCAGTTGGATCTTGACGCTCAGACCAGTAAGGTGTTGGAGGGAGCCATTCAGAAACCCTTGGAAGGCCTGGTGAATAAGATCACACAGAAGAACATGCAACATTCCTTGGAGGAGAAGCAGCTACCAACAGTTGATGAGGAGGAGGAGCCGTATGAGGTATCTGATGAAGATATGGAACTTTGAAGTGAAAAGCGCCTTGGTGAGGACCTCAGCAGCCTCCAGGAGCAAATGGAAGCCCTTCGTCAAGAGTGCCCAGATATTCATGACCAGGTGTGGACCCTCGTGAAGAATAAGTCTGGGAAGTCTGCCAAGAAAGGGAAGGGCGCCCAGCAAGGCTCAGGAGGGCAAAATCCCAGGCCGAAGCCTCCAGGAACTGCGCCATCGTCTTCAGCAGGACCCCAGGGCAGAGGAAAGGTGGGGAAGGGGAGGCCCCCAGCCACTGCCGCCGCCCCGCCCAGCCGGCTGCAGCAGCATCCAGAGGGGGGGGGGGGGGCGGCAGGTCCAGAGGGCGCCGAGCTGTGACAAACCAAGGGCCAAGGGTGGGCCTTGCAAATAACAAACCTGAACACGAATTCGTTTGCTACCTTTAAGGCGAACTATGACCATGAGTCTGGTTGTTTTCAATTCCCTGAGGCTTCAATTCTTCTCCTGCAGGAAACCTTGTTAAAGG